TGACGGTGTCGGGTGCGAGTAGTTGTGGTCAGACGTCGTGTCAGACATTGTCTCGTTTTGGACACAACTCTCGGATCAATTGAATTGATATGAAATGTCAAATGAATAGTGAATTGAGTGTTAAATCGTTGAAAATCATTGAGAAATGCATTCAAAACATGAAAACAAACAACACGTGACTCACCACTGCTCTCACACTACAGACAAATAACGCAAACTCTCCGCAAGACTTGAAAAAAAGTTTTCTCAAAGTTTTATTTGAAACGTTTTATGCAAATATTCATTACATTGAAATCTAATTTACTTTTATCTAGATTCTAGGTTATTATAATAGTTTTGAATCTTAACACAAATTTAGATTCATATCATTGTAAGAGTCTGTGTTTAATGAGCTTTTATTAGTTGATTCAAAGTGAAGGCATTAATGATAACTAATTTATGATTTAATCACTTCATCTGCAATCAAAGTCTTGAAGTAAAGTTTTGGGTCCACTTCCCAATGGTTGCTCTCGGGATGTGATCCACGGATACAACGCCAGCCCTCAATAGTTTTGCATCATTCAGATTGTCTCATAAATCAATACAAATATTATTCGTTAGAATTGTTTTAATTATCAAATAATTACTAACAAACCGAAGACATATTTCTTGAGTTTCTCTTTAGTGACAATAAAATTAGAAATTAGTATGAAATTGAAAGCATTTCTAATCACTTACAATACAAATGTTGTTTTCATTCAACGAATGTAAGCGCTTCCAAATGAGTTGTGGAACCGATGTCTGTGTCGGCAAATCAACCCTTGGTTTCCCCATTTTATTGTAAACTTTCACTTATTTTTACTTCAATTTCTTGTTTTAATAACTTGTAAATGTTTGTACAACTTATTAACTTATTTATTAGAGTAATATTAATATTTTTCACTTTTCTTATCTAAAAGTTGTTGAAACTTGTATTTATTAAATAAGGCGGCATGCACAAAGTACATACGCACTGGTAGGGGGAGGGGGGGTCATGCCAAAGCGTATGTCACCATGTTAAATTCCTATGTACGATGGGCGTGTAGGGGGGAGGAGGGTCAATTTTTGAACAAAATTTTGCGTACGTACTTTGTGCACGCCGCCTAACTTATTTTATGTCAAAATATTAGAGTAGATGAGAATGGCACTTACTTATAACCGAATCTATAATACCTACTTATTACCATATCTATACTAATTTAATATAAATATAACATAAATATTTTGTAATTATTATTTAAATCTTTAATATAAACTAAAAACCCTTTCATTAAAACATCAAATAAAATGTCTTAAGTCTTAAATAAATAATTATTCTTTATTAAATGAATGACATAAGTTTTAATAGTTAGGTTTTATAATAGTTTTATAATTGAGTGAATATTTGACTAACTTATATTCAAAATAAGTGGAATGGATAATATTAGTGTTTCATAATTATTAATAATATTTATATAACTGCTTAAGTAATTATAAATTATAATTTATGATAACCAAATTAAATGACAAATTGATTGCACTGTTATCATTAAATGGTTTACATTGCTATCAATCATAACACAATTGAAGGTTACTTTAACTCAAGGTTTAATAGAAAAGAACCAGAATATAATACTAATAAATATTGCAAGACAATTAAAATAATTTATTGAATACATCTAACATTTAAAACATTGTCATAAATATATTGTAATAAGGGTAATAATTTACCAAACTTTTAAAAATACATAAGTTAAATAAATTTTATTTATTAAATTCTATTAAATTAATGTTAAAAATAAAAATAATTATTAATAGTGTATTAAGTATGAAATGATTGTAAATAAAATCACTATAAAATTTAAAGTGCTTAATATCATTTAAGTTGTTGTGTTTTAAATTAGTTGTCAAATGAGTTACTTTTAATGATTTGGTCGGCAATTAATTGCTTGAAATATCTTCGATCGACTTTTCCAACTGTTGTTCTGGGGATACGATCCACGAATACAACGCCAGCCCTCAATAGTTTTGCATCATTCAGATTGTCTGAACATTTCATATGAGTTATAATTATATTCAATTCATTTACAGTCTATTGATAACAAACCGGAGACATATTTCTTGAGCTCCTCTTCGGTGACAGTCATACCGTCTCTGACTTTAACGTAAGCCCTAACCCATTGACTCTGTGTCTCGTGTCTGACCCCAACCACAGCCACCTCTGCCACACATTTATGGGTCAATAGGAACTGTTCGACTTCTGTGGGCGACACCTGTTTTGTGCCAAATTTAATGAGTTCTTTGAGTCTATCAGTGATGAAAAATCTATGTTTTTCGTCGTAATGTCCCATATCTCCCGTCCGAAGCCATCCCTCACTATCGATGGCCTCTTTAGTGGCCAAAGGATTGTTAAGATATCCGGAGAAGAGTTTGGGTCCGCGAACACAGATCTCTCCGTCAATATTAGGACCCAGACTCTCACCAGTGGTTAGATCTCTGATCTTCATTTGTGTATTCTTCGCAGGTCTGCCCAGATTTCCAGCGATATATTGGCCACAAACCTCCAGATCGGGCACATGGGTTAGGGTTCCACAGTATTCTGTCATTCCGTATACTATTCAATAAATTAGAAAATTAAAAATTAGTTTTTATATAAAATGACTTAATTATTATTATAAGATGTAATACCTTCTTGAAATTTGACTCCGTATTTGGCAATAATAGCTTTGGCCGTACATTCAGGGAAGTGGGCGCCTCCCGTGTATACAAACCCCAGGCTTGACAGATCATATTTATCAACCAAAGGTCCCGATACCAGTAGCGGTCCAAATGCGGGCACAATCATAATGAAATTGATTTTGTATTTTTCAATTGATTTCATTATTAACTCTTCGTTATAGTGTCTGAAAGTGACGACCGAAACACCACAACAGATATATCCGTAAAGGAATGTCATTCCAGTGATACAACCAAATGGTGTGATGTGTCCAAACTTCGGGTGCTCAGCAAACTCGTCGAAATTCATTCCAGAATTGATCATTGAATAGATACTAGCTACAAATGCTTTATGAGATAAAAGTGTCGACTTCGGCACACCAGTAGTTCCAGAACTTTGCAGAATTAAAAAGATCTCTTTTTCTGGATCTTTCACTTCAAAGTATGGAATTTGTGGTAAATTTTTGTTGAGACCCTCTTTGAGTAGTTCATCAAATGTAACATAATTGTCAAAAGTGCCGTCTATTATGAAAACTGATTTTACATTAGATTTTGAGGTATTATTTCCAAGTATTTTATTAATTATTTGAGATTTTGATTGCGATGTGAAGACAACCACTGAATTCAATGTCTCAAATAATTTCTCCAATTCATAGACATTAGCGATTGGAGTGATTGGATAAAGAGTTACTCCCAATAATACCGCTGTAAACAAGACTACAACCAATTCAATGGTATTTTCAGCGAATGTTAAAATCAGATCCGATTCAGTGATTCCTCTTTCAATCAAAGCCATCGCCAATGCATTGCATTTTGTGATCAACTCGTTTGCCGTTAGTTTTGTGTCAGTGTTGGCGTCAATCTTTACATTTGAATTAACAAATGGTTTATAAATCCGTTAAAAATAAATTTATTTTACACTTTACTTTGTATAATACTTTATAAACTTAATCAATATTTATCACAAAATTAACAGTACTTACAGCACATATAAACTCAGGGTCCAATTGTCTCAATGCCTTGGAAAAGAGTTCACCCACTGATATGTTGGGGATCTCATCGTAAGGCTTCCCCAAAGTTATTATATTATTGTCAGACATAGTTATATAATTTATATGTCTATAGTTATAATTCAATACAAAATAATATTTCTATTAAGAATAGCTACAAATTTTATACTGTAATTATAGTTATGTATTGAGAGATAATAGTGCATTAATGTGAAATACCAGTCTTTATATACCGGTGCAAATAGACTTTTCTTAAATTCAGTAAAGTTATCTTATTTAATATAAAACTCGTTGATATCAAACTAATCATGAATTGATTGATTAAGGGATGCACAAGACTGATAAGGAAGTGTTAATATTAAAATGTTCTGGTAAATTTTATTATAAGCTCATAGTTTTATATTAATATTTATTAATAAAATAATAATATTTTAAAATAATCTCAACTATATGTAAATGGTAATGTTATTTAAAACGTAATATTATGTTTGTATGCAATATGCTTAACAAAGTTTTTAATTATTAAATAATCAAGTACTGTATTGGATGTCCCTGATTAAGAAAATTTCATGTTCATTATCTGAATACAGTATAGTTGTAGAGTTTAGTGCGTTTAGTATGTTAAGCACAAGTTGTGCATAACATGATTATTTTAGCACTCTATGAGCACTCTACATTTACTAGTAGTTTGTTTAGGATGTTAAGTACAATTTGTTTAAATAATAGGAAACAATCAACAATAATATAAAGTACTGTAAACATAGTTTAGTTTATATTTAAATTGTTTGGGCAAAATAGGTTTATCAATTGGATTATTATAGTGTAATTTTAACGTATAGTTTAATCATATTACTAATTAATAAATAATTAATTAGGAGAGATGTATATCTTATGAGTTGTGAATTTGAAACACAATGTGTCTTTATTATTTATATTTAAAAAATTATTTAGAAAAATATAGTTTGTAATACGGTAGTATAATTTGCAAAATAATTTCAAGTATATTTTATTTTTAATGTTACTTATTAAAAATTAATTTATATAAAATACATTATTATATTTAAATATTAAACAAAATTATAATTAATAGACTTGTCATTTAATGTAAATTTAAATAAAATTGATTCCAATGAGATACAAATACTAAAAATTCTAACTTTGTTTAGCAACTACTTTATGTGTAAATGATTTATTATCGTAATTAAAAATCTTATTATGAATTGTGAGAAAACTCGATCATTTTGATGAATAATTTCATAATCCATAAAACATATTCTAACAATTAATATATTTAAATAACATTTATTAGAACATTATACCAGTTAATAATATTAAAAGAAATTAATTTTAATTTCTATATTATAAATAATTGTTGAGATATTTAGGTATAAACGATAAGAAAGGATTGAATATTTGAAAAATTAAATTGAATTTATAAATGATATTTTTTTTATAAAGTATCGATATTTAAAATTGAAGGTAGCTAAAATGTTATAAAAGTAATGGTATATAATCAAATAGTATATAAAAATTGTTAGTTTTTAATAACTTCTTTGGCTATGAGTTGCTTGAAGTATCTTCGGTCCACTTTCCTGATTGTGGTGCGAGGGATGTGATCCACAAATACAACGCCAGCCCTCAAGTGTTTTGCAGAATTCAAATTGTCTGTTCAATACATAC